AGTATTTTACTCTACACTTGTAAAAAGCTCAGTATTTTACTCTACACTTGTAATAAGCTCAGTATTTTACTCTACACTTGTAATAAGCTCAGTATTTTACTCTACACTTGTAATAAGCTCAGTATTTTACTCTACACTTGTAATATGATCAGTATTTTACTCTACACTTTATAAAGCTCAGTATTTTACTCTACACTTGTAATAAGCTCAGTATTTTACACTACACTTTATAAAGCTCAGTATTTTACTCTACACTTTATAAAGCTCAGTATTTTGTAAAATACTGAGCTTTATAAAGTGTAGAGTACTACACTTTATAAAGCTCAGTATTTTACTCTACACTTTATAAAGCTCAGTATTTTACTCTACACTTTATAAAGCTCAGTATTTTACTCTACACTTTATAAAGCTCAGGATTTTACTCTACACTTGTAATAAGCTCAGTATTTTACTCTACACTTGTAATAAGCATCCTTGTGACTTGGTTAAACCTGAACATACTGTACTTTCATCACATCCTTGTGACTTGATCAAACCTGAACATACTGTACTTTCATCACATCCTTGTGACTTGGTCAAACCTGAACATACTGTACTTTCATCACATCCTTGTGACTTGGTCAAACCTGAACATACTGTACTTTCATCACATCCTTGTGACTAGGTCAAACCTGACCATACTGTACTTTCATCACATCCTTCCTTCCTATAATCTTAAAACAATTCTTGCTGTTACTCAAAATTAGTAGTCAGAACATGGGTGATTGAGAGTTTTACTAGATTAATTTCCAGCCAACAAAAATAGTTTCTTGCTCAACCTTCACTCAAAACTCTGACATTTTGGATTACATTTACAGAAACATCTGATCAGAAATGACCCACAATTACAGGGTCACAATCTGAAAATGTGAATTCCCAACAATAACAAAGTAATCAAAACCTCACTTACTCAGCTCAGCAGGACATTCTGGAGGGAAAGAGTTACAGGTCGGCGTGAGGCACAGAGAACCAAAAGTCATCTCGTACACAAGGTGACCAAAAGAATATGTGTCCACATTCTGCAAAGTCTTGAAGTAAAGGAAACATAATAAAAAAATTAAAATAGTCAACACATAAAGATGTGGTAAGTTTAGGTTTAGTCCTACTGCTTCATAGTTCCATAGTCCAGCCATACTGGCCATCTATATGTGTAGGAAATGACAAGCACATTTATACAGTGACTCATTAGAATTAGGATAAAAAGAGTCATACAATGATTCAACCATAATTGAAGGATATGGTGATAATCTAGTCTTACCTGGACCTTTCGTAATTGTATAAACTGTGGTCGAAAGTAAGCTGGCAAACCTAGTAGCTGGTTTTCTACTTCCAACAACCTGCATGTCTCTTTTTCTACGATGATATTTCCAGAATGTAAATGGCCTGTAAAACACATATCATTACATCATTCATGCTCTTCATGTTTCTGTAAAAAATAAATCATTACATCATGCATGCTCTTCATGTTTTTGTACCAAATAAATCATTACATTATTCATGCTCTTCATGTTTTTGTACAAAATAAATCATTACATCATTCATGCTCTTCATGTTTCTGTAAAAAATAAATCATTACATCATGCATGCTCTTCATGTTTTTGTACGAAATAAATCATTACATCATTCATGCTCTTCATGTTTTTGTACAAAATAAATCATTACATTATTCATGCTCTTCATGTTTCTGTAAAAAACACATCATTACATCATTCATGCTCTTCATGTTTCTGTAAAAAATAAATCATTACATCATTCATGCTCTTCATGTTTTTGTACGAAATAAATCATTACATTATTCATGCTCTTCATGTTTCTGTAAAAAACATATCATTACATTATTCATGCTCTTCATGTTTTTGTACAAAATAAATCATTACATCATTCATGCTCTTCATGTTTTTGTACAAAATAAATTATTACATCATGCATGTTCTTCATGTTTTTGTACAAAATAAATCATTACATCATTCATGCTCTTCATGTTTTTGTACAAAATAAATCATTACATCATTCATGCTCTTCATGTTTCTGTAAAAAATATATCATTACATCATTCATGCTCTTCATGTTTCTGTACAAAATATGTCATTACATCATTCATGCTCTTCATGTTTCTGTAAAAAAACTATCATTACATCATTCATACTCATGTTTCTGTAAAAAAATATGTCAT